TTAACTCTGAAAACCTAATAGTCGTCAGTCTGGATACAATGGCTTTGGTATTTTAAACCTAAATGTACGCCAAAAATATCTGTAGTGACATCTATTTTCTGACGGTCATGCAGTTACTAAAACTTCAGTATCGTTATCAACAATATTTCCTGGTACAAAAATGGCTACAAAACTAAACAGAAATCAGGAACGGGAGCCCACAGCTCGAAAACCATATATTCCTCTCTCTGAGTGCAATGGGACATAAAACAGTCACAAAAGAAAAATTCTCATCTCAAACAGTGAGGTATCCATTTACACTATTTAGTTCTATGTATCAAATCGGAGATTGTACATTTGGGGTGTAAGGGGCATGGTTACTGAAAAAATATGAGCCCAATTCATTTTTGACTGACACAAAAATTTATCATAAATCAACATAATTCTGTGGTTGATAAGAACACCGACTTAATTGTGATCTTCAAGAACAATATTGGATCTCGCTGATTAAAGCATCTGCTATTTATAGAAAAATTTTTACTGAATAGTTTAGAAACAAGAGTTTTGTACAGCGATAACTTTCCAGTTAGATCTTTTGTAGTTAGCTTAATTGATGAAGATTGATTTGATTATATTTATGAAGTAGTTGTTGCTAACACCAAGAATTGGCTCCGACGTATATGGTTGCTTTGAGGCAGCTGCCTTAACTAATTCCTTAACTTCATTTCCATCAAAACTTTTGTGTACAAGTATCCAGCGTAATATCGCTTGAATCCTAGATGTCATATATTATCTATATATTATAATATACAGGTACTTGCATTTATCAATGCCTCCGATTGGTATTAATAAGTCTATAGTTCTATTCACAATTACAAAGAATGTGGAAACAAAACAGCTCCCATAGTTATGTAAGGAGGACTCCATTCTTCTTCCACTTTACCTATCTACCTAACTAATGTTTTATATTTGGATGACTTGTGATTTGATAAAAATGGCGAAACATGCCATATATTCAGTGACACAATTAATTTTTAAAGAAAAATATCAATAATTTGCAGTTTAATACAACAAAAGTAAAGCAGAACTTAGACCCTATTTAAGTGCTGGAAGGGTAGTATTGAACCAATTTGAATTATGGAAAGTTTTGTTCTGAACCGGTGTACACACGAACCTCACAAATTGCAATATCCTAACCCATTCACGAAGAAAATCATTCTTAAGAATATCAACATTCTGGTATTTCTTATTACTGATCATGGTTTGAAATCTAATGAATACGCCATTTAGAGGAATTGAGAGATTGAAACGAAGAGTATTTTGGTTGGTATATATTGAGCTTAAACTTGTACTCTCTCCCTCTCTCCGATATGTTTCAAAACGCATTTTTAAGTAAATTTTTTCATTCAAATTCGTTTAAATAGATAATCGAGAATGTACTTAGACAAATTTTGCTATGTTTTGTATATAGACTATACACAATTAAGTTTTGTACGTAATTAAAAAATCTATTAAATCTATGGTTTATTCGAGTCAGTTAGCTAATTAATTAACTGTCAATTTAAAATCGAATGGTCTTTCTTTTGTGTGGAAAAACTTCAACTTCAATGACCATGATTGGCATTTATTTGAAATATAGCGTATCTAATATTTAGAACTGAAAATTTATTAAAACAAAATTGGTTCTATTTTAATTAAATTAAGATTTCGTTTAGCTTTTAGTGTACTCTCATCACACATGTCTGACCACCTGCCCACAAGCATGCGTCCGTCCACATGTGTGACAAACACTTTTCAAATTTATATTAAAACCTCTAGCATACATACAGACTCTCACATGAGCTTATCAAATATTTATAAATTTATTAAATAATTATAGTCACCTTTCTGCAGTATCGTTGTGGCCAGGTAGATGGATAAAGCACTTAGCAATGTAGTGCTAGCCTTTCACGAGCCCAAATGGCTATGTTGCGCTTTAAGGAAATTAACGAGGCCATAGGAAATTCGTTTCGATAGGATAAAGTGTTTTGTGAATTTATAATGCATAATTTCGTTTATAATACGTGGTTTTCCAGGACAACCACAACGAAATATGTAAAGTTGTTATATTCGCCCTACTGAATATGGTTGCAGAGCAAATTTTAATTATTCATTTTTGAAACAATATTTGACACAATGAAGGGAAAATATTTAATATAGATCCTAGCATACAATTAACAAAAATGTAATTAACATTAATTAAAATTTTGTACTGCAAGTAATTAAGCACACAATACAAAGGAAATAAGTTAAATTAAGGAAAACTAAATAACTGAAATCATTTATAATAAAAAAGAAGAAAAAACCACTTTAGCTTCGGTTAAAATTAGAGAGAAAGGTTGATGGACTAATTAGTTATCATCCTTTATATGTTCAAGTTTGAGAAGTTGTTAAGTAAACCTTTAAACGATTTATAAATAGTATATTTATGTATGCTTGAACTCTGCTAAAACTTGAAAAAAAAAAAACTAATATAAAACTTCATTCTATGTGCAAAACCTCATTGTCTTTCGATAATGATAACATATAGAATCATTTGATATAGAATTTATTTTCTTGTGTACCCTAAAGCGCGTCACTTACTCTCCATTGAAATTTACATCAAACAGAAGGTAATTCTTAGTTTACAAAGGCTTAAGAATCTTAACTTTAGCCCCTCGTTGATGTTAGTATATGTAGCCTACTGTCAATTTGTTTTAGCAGTGAATTACTTATGTCGCCGTTTTTAATTTGATAATAAATTTGATACCAGAACTCCCTTAAAAGAGAGAATTGGGAGGCAGGACTGATTGCAATGCAAATGATTATTGTAATTTACACTTAATGAACAAAGTCATAGGTGCCGAATTCGATTTCACAGATTAAGGGATTGCTGATTTCTCCCTTTTGAACAATTTCAGATACATAAAAGAAAGTCTACATTCTCAATAGTTCACGTACGTGACTGATTTATCAATAAAGTTAGCAGTAGTTCTAAATTAACTTTAGTTTGGATTATCAGACATTCAAACACAGTTGGAAATGAGCACGCAGACGAGGCAGTTAGACTTGGTGTCTTTTCCATGGAACCTGCCGTTTCAATTCCAGTTCATTACAGCTACAAATGAAAATTGAGTTACGACCATATTTTTCGATAGCTAAATAGGAATTAAGTTTATATTTCTTCAACAGCTAGGTCAAGAGCTATATGTTTTTTATATTTTAAATATACTACTATCTACTGTGCCTACGTCTTGGCTTGTCTAACCCCAGGCTTAAGTTTTTGCGAGCTCCATTCTATAATATTGTCAGTGATATTTTCAACATTGCCATTAGTCAGCTATTTGCATTCTCTAACATATAGACTACAACAAATTTTGGATTGATCTGTACATTACATGAAAGATACATGAAGGCATTTTAGAAAAATATGGAGCGTATAACTTAATATATGTTTCTTTTGTTCATTTTTTGTGTTATAACAATTGGTTTTAGTGCAAAAAAATAAAAAAGAAAAAATTGTAAATAATATAATATAAAAGCATATACATATATAAACTAAGCGTAATGCATAAATTGTAAACTTTGAATGTGGCAATGCTACAACGTCAATATAAGCAACAAATAATAATAAAAATAAGAAGAACAACAACAACAACTATGACACTAACACTAACACTAACAGTAACAGGAGAACACTTTGACACACTTGTGCCAGTAGGTAGGTTAGCTTTAATGCAACAACAAAGGAATCAGCAACATAGTAAAACAACAACAACAATAACAACAACAATAGCAGTTAACTGCTTAGAAATCCAACAGTAACAGCAAATAATACAAAAAAAGTGCACACAATCCTGGCATTTGAAAGAGGCATGTGACACTTTTTTAGACTTAATTTATATGCAGAACATAATTTATGCCCGAACAAAAAAAAAGAAAGAAAGTTGAAAAGAAAAGTATTTGTACAAACCCAAGTAAATGTCACAGCCAACCCTCTTCACTGCTGTGGCACTAGCAAACACAGTGACACAGTGAAGATTGTAGTAGCAATAATGACGTTAACAACAACAACAACAACAACAACAACAACAACACCACCACCAACAACAAATACAACAACAACAGTACGGGCAAATAACAGAGCACAGTACAGCGCAGCACAGCAGTACAGTAGCACACTTTGACTGTTTAACAAAACCCCACACTGCGCTGGTGGCAGTTCAGCAAGGCAGTATCGCAACGATTTCTGCTAACTTAACATATTCACATATACACACATATTTACATATTTTCGTACATAAATTATTTTTGTTTCATTTAAATAGTTTTACTTGTAGTTGGCAACAAATAACAAATGAACGTATACGTTAAGATGATTAAATCCCGGTAAACATTCGCGCGGCAGTAAAGTCAAGGCTTTTGGAATTGCGGTGAGACGAATGATTTTTCTCGAAGAGTTTAGATTGTTTGGAATTGAGTTACAGACGGAAAAGAAACAGTGAGTCGTTGAGTATGAACATACCTTTGACATTTTAGCATTTACTGTGATTAGAAAAAGTTGATTCCATTTGGAGCGCTTACACAAATCTCAACGAACTGGAATAATAGCTCGCATTGTTTTTTTTTATTATTGATTAAAATTTCTAAAATTTTTGTTTATCTTAATATTCAATTGTTGAAGTATTCGTTTAATTACTTAACAAATTTTGAGTCAGTGGTTAAGGTGCGCTGACTCTGACCTTCAAATTTGGCAGAACACGAGTTCGATTCCGGGTACTTTCAGTCTCAAAAAAAATTATTTACGAATAATTTAATACATTATTTCCAAAACCACTGATGTTGGGTATTTGGCAATACTCGAAACAGCTGTATGTCAGTCAAAAATTTAATTAATTGAAACAATATAAAATGAATTTTTGTTGTTGTAGTTCACTACTATTCGAAACACCTCGTTATTAAATAAAAATATTTCATCACAATAAAATTTCTTTAATCGCTCATATATTTTCAATATAATTAATTTATATATTATAAAAATATAATTCAGAAATATTTGTAAATCCATACTAAATATAACACAACATACATAATAATGAGTATGGTTTTAAGGCGATTCTCAGAATCATTGTTTTCTTCTGGAACTATTGGTGTAGCCACATTTGTATTTTCCAAAATATTAGAACCGTTAAAGCAAACGGGAGGTTGTTTTGCACTTTGTTGCTAAATATTATTTTTTTAAGTAAAATTAATTATTTAATCTTACAAATTTAACTATTGAAACCTTACCGGAGATTGTATAATAACTTTAATTTTATTTCCATTACGATTTCTAAGAAAAGCATTATTTGGAACCGGAGTCATCAACAAGTTAACGTCAATATTAGAATGAAAGTCACTGTCGCAATAGTCACTGCATTCAGTGTCATCAGCGAGTTCCTTCCTATCATCTTCACTACATACAGTGTTATCGTCAACTTCACACTCATCGCACGAAATATCACTTTCATCTTCGTCTGTATGTCCATTATTATGATAATCCACACGCTCGTCCTCGCTGTTGACGCCAATGGAGCGACGTCCAGTCACAATGTTAATTTCAATTTCAAACTTTTTTAGTCGTGAAGACTAAAAGTAGTAAGCGCGATATAAATAAATCCGAAGTGGCCTATTAAATTCAGTTGTAAAAAAGTTGCAATTAAAACTCACCGTTTTTTTTCCAACACCTGTAATTGTTATAAGCATGGGCTCAGATTTAGAAGATGCCATTGCATCTATTGGCTCAACACTCTCAGTTTTCACTTCTATATCATCAGCGTCCAAACGGATGGAATCCAGTTGAACGGCTTCTATTAATAAATACTATCAATAATTTATGGTCATAGGCTTTTGTTTACATTTGTTACCTAATTTAGTCGACATCATGATGCCTCTTTGAAAAACCACGAAATTTTAAATCTAAAGCACAAAAAAGAAATTTAAAGTCACGTTCTGGATGCTTTATAGCAAAACAGTTTTGAAGAACTTCCTTCTGAAAAACGTTTCAAATTTCTTACAAAAAAATAAAAATAAATTGATATACCAAAATTTTTAAAGTTGAAATAAACATGGGTTGCTATGTTCATCGGTAGAACGTACTATTTTCAAATTTAATAAAGAAGGAAAACACAGTACAGAATTATAAAGAAATATGCTATGACTCAAAAGGACCTATTTATTGAGAAGTACAAGTTTTTAGAATACTATATTGTAGCTCTCATGTGTATAAACGATGTCATATCGTCGATGGTAGGGTGGGTTAGTTTCGGTTATACAGGCGATCATAAGGATCCATTTAGGTCTATTGGCTTATTGTGTAATCGTATAAATAACTTTGAGGCTTAAAAATCATTTTGCACATTTGGCAAAGCCCAAAATGCTATTTAAGTTAGCTAAGATCCTTCAAAGTGTAAACTCTTAACATATTAAATCGACGTCGCTCATTCAGTCTAAAGATTTAGTTCGATTAAAAAATATCAAAAATATTAATATTAAATTTTATATTACTGAGTTTATAATTTAAAACAATAAATTTAAATATTATTCGCACGAAATATGCGATAACAATGTGGATTTGAAGCATATCGATGTTCCGTCTCACAACTGCGATAAAAATGATTAAATAGGAGATTGAATCTTCTAGCATGGCTCTCTAAACAGCTATGATCCATCAACAAACACAACACCAAAGTTATATATTTCTATATAATCTGAATGAGGATGCTCGATTTCTCCTAATAAAACGCATCAATTTGCATACAGATGCCTGCATATCAGAAGTTTTAAAAAGTTTTCAATAATTTCTTATCCTAGTAAAGGGATGGCATTCATTCCCACCATTATCGAGATATGTGTAAGACTCTTCTATTTGAGAAAAAAAAATATTTCTGTGCAAAGAATTGTACATGCGAATTGTAGAATTACATGATGTGAAGAAGATAGTGTAAAAATTGTGTTTTGGGATTGTGATATTGTTTATATTCTGCGCTTATTTCAATGGTTGATGTTATCCGGTACTGCTATCAATCAGTTTTGTGATGTGGACATCTCATTCGAAGAGTGTGTCTTCTCTGAAATCTTCTGTCTAGGTTTATTTATTTTTCACATTTATTTTTCTCTATATAAACTTTGGAACAATTAACTCTAGACTATGCTAAAGTGTATATACATTTAAAATCTCCGGTTATGTACAACCTATCTATAGTGATAGTAGTGTGTCTGGTTTTACTTCGATTATTAGTTTCGTTGTGTTACCATATATTCGAAGATAAGCTTTTCAGTTTAAAATCAATCACTCTGGTGGATATAGTATATACATATCATACACACATACGACACTATAAGAAGTAACTATATTTTTGTTTTTCTACAGTATCTGCATCATTTCTATTCTTAATTGGAGAAGAAGTTCTTATAAGTAAGTTCATACATTGATTAATATATAAGGTCCATAATATTTTCGGAAATATTTCTGCCTAAAGAATGATGTTGATTTTGCACTTTGGGTTACGGCATTTTTCCGTTTGATGTGATTACTGTCCCTATATATTGTTGCCGCTAACACCTTACGCCCGTGATATTTTGTTTGTTTTTGTCCTAACCAACCGTGCTACGGTTCAACTAACTATATCAGCCTTCAACTCATTTAAGATGAAAATATTTTGTGATTTGGTTGTCTGCAATTTTCTTTCCCTCCACTTACTGCTTGTTGGTGCTGTGACAATGTAAGTGAGAATATAACGCCATTACTGGTGTGTATGTCAAAGTGTTAGCTGTTATGTTTAAGTGTAATTGCGTGCCTGGTTCAGGGTGAAACTACTTTTCCATCGCCACATTTTTCTCACTTTTACCACTCTTTCTACTATGTTTTTTTACTTTCTGCAGTTATTGTTCTAATAGTTGGAATAATTTAATTAGTAAAATTAGCATAGCATAGTTGTTAGACGTGGTGCTAAAGCGCAAGCAGCACAGTTGTGGAGTGCATAAGTTATTAATGCTTCTATATTTCCTTGGCAATTATGTTTCCGAAGAAAGAAAGCAGAAGTAGAGTACTGAGTGGTACTGTTGTTGGCTTAACTATGTTGAAGTTACAGAGAATTTCTGTTGGACGACCTAATTATTTAATTAGTTGGGAAATTCTTAGTGCATGTAGTTCATGTTCTACAAGCCTATTTTTTCTTTGCAGTGGAAAAGTGTATTGTTTTAGTACTTGACATTAGAGTTTTTAAAAATATTCGTAGTAATTTTTTTTTTGAATAACTCTCATTTAATTATTATAGTTGAATGGAAAGATGGTGCACTTTTAAGCACAAGCATCAATTAGAGATAGCATAAATGATATTGAATTAGTTAATAACATAAAGGTATTTAGCAGAATATTTTGAATAGTGACGAACATATGGTAAATATACCAACTATACCATTATAGGAACGTAACACGGTCATTTCCGAATGGTATACAACCCTTTATTTAGCGGAAGTCCTCAGTGAAATACGGAAAACAAACAAGCGCTGTCGGATCATTCTTCATCTCCATCAAGACAATATGAGTGTTCACAGATGTCGACAATTTGAACATTTAAAAAATGACATATCAAATTGATGGGTCATCTCCGTACACTCCTAGTTTGGCATCCCATGACTTCTTATTCTTCCAGAATGTCAGCAAGAAATTGCACAAATTTTGTGAGCGGAAGAAGCCGTTGTTGCATTTAAAAACCATGTTTTAGAGGTGTCTGAAGAAGATTGAAAAAATTTCTTTGGTAAATGATTCGAGCGCATGTAAAAGATTATTTATTAATCATAAAGGAGAATACTTTGGGAAATAATTAATCAATTTTCAACGATAAGTTAGTATTTTTTTATTATCATGCTCAAAGTAAAAATAGTGTCCCTTGTACCTGTTTGCAAATCTGGAAAAATCTTCGTGGGCTTTAATGATAAAGACATCGTCGAAACTTTGTCATATTTTAAGACCAAAGATGAATACTTTGCATGACATCGACGCTCAAGTCCTTGGGTATATTTTCATTTTTGATATACCATGAAGATTTTAGAATAGTGCATAAATAACATATAAATAATTTGTATAGGTGGTTGAATGTGACATCCTTATTAAAACTTAATTTAAATATCTATTTCTATTATAATTCTGTAATATATTCTATTATCAACTATTAAACGAACATTTTTTTAAGTTTGAATTTATTTCTTGACCAGGTTTTTTTAATAATATTTTTTATAGAGACCCGAAATCAAGAGCATGAGGTTTAGATATCGATTTTATTAATATTAATTCATGTTAGATCCTAACGATGACTCTTAAGGCGGGTTGAAATATAGAATAAATTAAAAAATATATAAAAAACATTATTTTTCATTTTTATATTTTTATTATATTTAAACTTAATTTAGAGTTTAAATTAACGACAACTAGTCATATTGACTAACAAGAGGCTTTTGAATTAATATTACAAGTAATGTTACCTACCTAAGGTGAGCATATAGATGTGAGCTATTCATCTCCTTGCTGGTTGAAACGCCTCAAAAGGTCTGTATTGACAGTATGTATTTCAAGGTCCTGATATAAACCAGCATTTCGCAAGTACCACGGAGCGGTAACTGCATACCTAAGTGCTTTGTTTTGGAACCTTTGTATCATATATCTGCTATATATTTTTTTGCACAACCCTTAATTGCGACACCATAGAGCCATACCTGCTTGAAGACTTGTTTGTAAATCATAAGTTTGTTTTGCTCAGATATTTTAGATCTCCTTCCAATAAGCCAAGTTAACTCTTTATATGTAATATTTAGCTCAGTTAATTTTTTCTTGACGTGTACTTTCCATCTCAGTTTGGCATCTAGGCTCATATAGAAATTCTAATCGCAGAATTAGCAACTGGCATTTTTACGCTATGTAGAAATAATGGAATTTGGTTTTCTCTTTTGTTAGTTAAGTCCAGTTAGTTTGGTCCAGTCTTCAATTTTTTGAAGAGTGATTTGTAACTTGGTGCTAGACACTTTGTTGTTTGGACCTGTAGCCATTATTATCGCGTCATCTGCAAAAGTTCCGAGAAACATTAATAAAACTCTTTTTTTTTTAAATTTTTCTTTAAAGAAAATTTGAACATTCTTACTATGTGTCTGTGTAATCTACAAAAATTAGATTAATTGGTTTTCTAATCAGATTCTTTAACATTTTCCTATTTAATATTTTTATGCATCAATTTAATATGACATCTAAAATCAAGTACTATTTTCACCATTTCACCATACTATTCTCACAACCAAAAATATATAAAAAGATTTGTAGGGTAAGATTCTTAAGTCCGAATCAAGTAAAATTCGCTCAATTTACCTCGCTTTGGTCGTGAATTGAAAGGAACATCTTACCAGCATTTCCGGCAACTAATTTCAATGCCACACAAAATCCAGCGAACACAAATAATAATAAGAAATTGTTGCTTAAAACTGTTTCATTCAACAAAATAAAATAGCAGACAAAGAATTGAATAGTTGCTAAAGTTTTGTTAAATAAAAAGCGAGAATAATGTGAAAAAGGTTAAAACTACTTGTGCAATTTGTGCTGAATAGACAGACGACAGCACTGCCTAGCACTGCCTCGCACTCCCACATTACACAAAACACAAAACACAAAACACACAACACACAACACCCACATACAAAACACAAGACAAAGAACGTCTCTTCAATAGCAGCGCTTGTACTTTCTTAAGATTTAGTCCTTTAGTCCTTAAGTTCTTTGCTTCTGTGTGTTTCGCTTTCGTGAATTACATGGTGGGTGGGTGCTCGGTGACGTATGAGTAACATTCAAAAAGTACAATTGTGTTGAACACTTTAACGTAATAGAATCTAATTAAACTTCTTTGCTGGAAATATTTCATTTCGTATGAAATTGACATTGCGAGAATGTATTTTCGAATAAATGAGAAATTTCGTTACAGTTGTGGTGAATGACTTATAAGTGAGAAAACTTAATTT